CTATCTCTCTCCCTTCCTCTCTGTACAAAGTCAATAAAATATATTTTAAAAAAAATAATAATAAATAAATAAATAAATAAATAGAAGCTCCCTAATTATCTCTAATAATAAAAGCATAATATGCTAATTAGACCAGACAGCTGAACAACCTTCCGGACATCATTCCAGATGTCCTTCTGGATGAAGCCACAACAGGAGGGACTAAGGCAGAGGCAGTTAGGGATGATCAGGCAGGCTGGCGAGCAGTTGAAGGCACCAGGCAGGCAGGCAGAGGCGGTTAGGGGTGATCAGGCAGGCTGGTGAATGGTTAAAGGTGATCAGGTAGGCAGGCAGGTGAGTGGTTAAGAGCCAGCGGTCCTGGATTGCGAGAGGGATGTCCAACTGTTGGTTTAGGCCTGATACAGGCCAGGCTGAGGGACACTTCCCCTCTGCCCCTCCCCCATGCATGAATTTCGTGCACCAGGCCTCTAGTTATCTATAAAAATAAATGAATTGACTAAATGGTCTTCAGCATCTGCAGCTACTAACGTCTCCTCTAGCCTCAATTCTGTATTTTTCACAGCCTCCCCAACTTTGACATCTCTCTTCAGGTTCAGCCTCCACCTGTGACCCAGGTAGAATGAACAAAGGAAGAAATAAGATGTCAGTGAGGCAATAGAGTGTAAAGATGTGGTGATGCAGGCACGGGAAGAAGGAATGGGGCTCAGTTCTCCTACAGCCACCCCAAGACTGTTGGATATTGAGCCCAAGCATTTGCCCCCCGCGGGATACAGGATGAATGTGTTTGTTATAGGGAGCTTGGTCAATCCTCCTAGCTCATGTTTTTACCTTTAATGAATAGAACACAGAAACTATCAGACTGCTTGTGCCTGGTGAATGGAATAATATGCATGAATGAGTTTTGTAAACAGCACAGGTCAAATGTTGCTGTTTCTGCTGCTGTTGCTATAACTGATAAACACCTTCTTTAAAAATCCAAAGGATATGGGCTCTTTGCCTACTTTCTTTAAGCTGGCACTAGCTGTTTGGATTAAACTTACTATTAGGCATGAGGAATGTCTATCTTATCTACAGTTTCTCAAAGGAAAAAGAATCCTTCCCAAAGGCTGTATTAACTAGAGATTAATAATACAAGTTCTCAGGTTTCTGGATTCAGTCCCTTGATCTGCCACTTTCTGGTTATGTGTGGCCTTGGGCAAGAAGTTGCTTTAACTTCAAGCTTCAATTCCCCCTTCTTTAAAATGGGAATAATGCCCTGGCTGATGTGCTCAGTGGTTAGAGCACCAGACTGCACACAGAAGGGTTACAAGTTTGATGTCCCTTCAAGGGCATGTACCTGGGTTGCAGGTTCAATTCCCTGACCATGGTCGGGACGCATCTGGGAGGTAACCAATTGATGTGTGTCTCTCACTCGATATTTCACTCTCTCTCCTCTTCTTTTCCTCTTTCCTCCTCCCTTCCACTCCCTCTGAAAATCCATGGGGGGGAAATATCCAAAATGAGGATTAACAAAAAATAAAATAGGGATAATGATTATATGTACACAGAAGGATGCTGTGAAAATTAAAGGCAGTGATGAATAATTTAAGACTTTGGCATAGTGCCTGGAATGGAGGTATCCTTTAAGTGTTGGCTATTACCATTATTAAGATAATAGAAGAAATAATATAGACAGTGTTATCTACAAATATAGGTAATATTTTCTATCTCTAACAAATTTCTTATCAAAAGGGTGAGTAGTGGAGGAAAGTGGCAAAGAAAAGGATGCCATGAAGCAAGTCCTCTACATTGAATCTGTGTATTATGGTCATTTCTCAAAACCCTCCAGCCTGTGGAGGCTGCTGCAACACCCCCGGTCCCTGGGATCGAAAATTCAATTTAAAATTAGTCCAAGCATCATACTAATGCTTCTATTTGAAATGTTATAACCAGAGCTTTCCTATTACTGATCCTAGAAAGACAGGAAGTACTGAGTAGTCAGGACCTCCTACTGGAGGACTGAGTACTCCACGCGGTTGTAACGAGATATGTGGTCATACGAAAGCCTAAATCTGGGCAGTGGCAGGAAGCCTGCGGAGGTGTATCAGACCTACTCTGTTCATTCACCCTCAAAGGTAGCATCTCTTCAGTGAGCAATGGGGGTTTTTAATAGGAACATTTGAAATATAAAAGTCAAGGAAATAATTAGATCAATATTGTCTATACCAGGGGCTGGAAAACATTTTCTGTTTGCAACAGATAGTAAATATTTTAGGTGTTGTGAAACCAGATAGTCTCTTTTCTGCCCACTCAGCTCTGCGATTGTAGTGTGAAAGCAGCCTTAGACAACATGTAAGTGAATGGGCGCAGCCGTGTGCCAGTAACTCTTGATTTACAAAACAGGTGGCTGGCTCGATTGGTCCATGGGGCATAATTTGCTGAGCCTTAGTCTATACAGGGGACTTAATGCAATGACTCAAGTTGTCAGAATGACCCGGGCTAAAGCTCAGATAAATCAAACATGATGTCAAAGTGTGTGTTGACTAGAGATTAGCTGACCTAACACATGGAACTTCAGACAAAAAATGAAGAGAGAGACAATAAAATGCTTAAGTTGAAATGGACAAACTTAGCTTCTGTAGAAGAACATAAGAAGAGTAACATGGAAAAAAAATTACAACATAAATGACTCAGTACTTCACATTGGAAACTGGATAGGGCTCTGAATTCACAGCCTTATTTTTCTGTATTCTAAGGCAGCAATTTTCAATCATTGTGCCACAGCATTTTTAAAACATGTAATATCTGACTATTAATATTTAGTCTGGGGCACTGACTTCTTTTCCCTTAGATTATTAAATTTTAAAAAAATTACATCAGCCAATACAACAATAGCCATCCAGTGTGAATGAATCAAAATAATATCTATTTTTATCATTTCAGCAATAATATATATATATATATATATATATATATATATATAATGTGCTGCAGAATTTCAGTGATTAGTTTGTGTGTCATGAGATGAAAAAGGTTCTAATGTTCACAACATGATTAATAACTTAGCGAACACACATTTCTGTTAGCTAGTGTGCCCCAGATGTTCCTGTGTAATTATCAATAGTAGTGCTTTTTAAAGAAGTGGTTATGGTTCAGTGGTTGAGCATCGACCTTTGAACCAGGAAGTCACAGTTCAATTCCCGGTTAGGGCACATGCCTGGGTTGTGGACTTGATCCCCAGTGGGGGACATGCAGGAGGCAGCCAATGGTTCTCTCTCATCATTGATGTTTCTATCTTGCTCTACCTCTTTCTCCTCTCTGAAATCAATAAAAATAAAATTTTTAAATGGCTCTTCCTAACCAATTTGAAAGGGCATTGTACTAAGTCCAGTGATACATTCCACTTATTATTTAAGTATAAATCTCAGATAAATACAAATGTAAACCTTAAGTGAGTATATTCAATAGTAGGGTTGTTTTGTAATCTGAAGCATCACAATTACCTTGGGCGTAGGCGGTTGATTCTTTCTAGCGTTTGCTTCTGTTTTGTGTTGAGTCCATTTGTCTGCTTTCTGTGAAATGTCTAGCTGACTCTCTCTGTGTGGGCGCTCTGCATAAAGTTCAGTATCCCATTAATTCTGAACAATTCACATACAAATAGGTAGTTTAACCTCACATATTTCCCCAAGGCCTGCAGAGGCTGGCGCAAATATAAACAGACTTGGAAGAGCTGATGAAATTTTTATCTGAGACTTTAAAGAAATTCTTTTCTCTCTGGGACTTTCTGACAATGGCTGTAATCCAGCTCAAGTGCTTCGGCTCTGTGTATATTTGTATCTTCCCTCCTTGATTCAAGCTCTCTGACATGCCTGGCTGTTTGAATTGCACACCACATTGATACACAGGGTGGCCGATGCTAGCCGATCGGGTTGTATCAATTGCTTCTTAGATCCCTTTTCTGATTCTATTATTTTGTGACTGCTGAGCAGCCCATTGTTATTGTTTTATTTTTTATTAGAAGCTCACACAGAGACATTTTTAGAGAACATACTGGTTTGAATTAATTAAGATAAAAATTAAAGTGAAAAATACTTTTAAGGGGAAAGATAACATGAAGTGTGACAGAAATATACTAGTAATTTTGTGTTAATAATGGCAACCAATATTTCTCAAGCATCTACTATGTTCCAAGCACTGTATGTATTGCATAATTATGATGATGATGGTGATGATGGTGCCAGTAATAGCAGCTATATGTTCAGGACTTATGACCACACAAATGAGGGATGCATGGACCCTGCCCTCCTAAAAACTTATGAGCCAGCAGGAAAAGCAGACATTGAACCAATAATTCCAAGTGTTAGCTACTCTGTGGAATTGCAGGGTACAGTGAGAGTCAGGCAGACTTCTCTGAAGAGTGACTTTAAGGACTAGCTACACAAAGGGAAAGTAAGATTAAGTTCCTATGACATCTTGCCAGCGTTATAATGAAATGATATTGAATGAAATACCCTTTGAGGACCTATTGTATACCATAAAGGCAGATGAACATAAAAGAGATACAGTCAACTACTTTGGATCAGATACACAGTATTCCAAAGTTTTAAGTTGGTCTTTGTCTAGTTCTAACCAAGGAGGAGCACAATTTATTTCCTTAACCACATAGTATTTTGTCTGATATGCAGTTTATAATAACTAGATTTTTTTTCTACGTGCCAGTTTATATAACTCCTAAAAAATTTTCATGGGTTCTCAATATAAAGCAGAAAATTGTTTTTGTATTTTCTGTTTATTGTTTCCATCTCTTTGCTTCTGAAGGTAGGACAATTACTGAAGTGAAAGCTGGGATATGAATGAGCATCTCCCTCCTATGTGTGCATATTTCTATATGCATATTTATACCTGTGTGTATGGCATAAAATTCTACATTATTAGATTTCAAAGAGTGATGGAAAAAGAAAATTTTGAAAACAATTCTAAGACGAATTTATATTAAAGACATTTCTCTTTCTCCTTCATAGCTCCATCATCCATCCCAGGGCTTCCGCTTTGGAACTGTCCGAGAAAGCAGTGCTGAAGATTATGTGAGGCAAAGCTTCCCCGAAATGCATGAGTACATGAGAAGGTACAATGTACCAGCCACCCCCGATGGCGTGGAGTATCTGAAGTGAGTGTCAGCCTCTTGGGGCCAAAACATTCTCACTGAGACAGTGTTTGTTGTTGTTGTTGTTGTTGTTGTTGTTGTTGTTGTTGTTGTAAATGACAGTTCAATATACCCACTGGGTGTTCAGTAATACCTCACACTGTGTGAGATCCAGGAGACAGTATGGAACAGTTTGCATTTAATTATGGGACTAAGATTACTAGTTACCTGCCTAGTCCCAAGTTGGCTCAGAGTGCCAGTGGGGTCATTAGTGGAGCAGATGGGGGAGGAAGCAAATGTTGGCTTGACTTCGCTTGAGAAAACAATGGTGCAGAAATGATAAAACACTCAGAGAATGTGGCCAGAAGATAAAGTGTCCCAAAGTACCCATTTCCTTCACAGTGAATCTCTAAGCCCATGGGCTCTCTCCTCTTTTCACAAGGAAGAAGGATGTATCCTAGAGGTTTCCTGTAGATAGGAAGTAAGATAAAGAGCAATGATCCCGTGCCTGCATCCTTCCCATCAGAATCTGTGAGAAGCAATCAAGTGCAATGCCATTGCCATGGCCGATTACTAGAGCCTGTAATTCAGTGAGGCAGAATGCAAAGGAGGGTGAGTAGGGATGGATCCTCTCATCTAATTGGCCTGGAAGAGGGGAAGGAATGGCTCCCAATAAGGAGTCCTCTCCCTCCTGCCTAATGGTCCCAGGACAATGACAGATAGTCAATCCTCCAATCCCTAGAATTGCACAGCATCAAGAAACTGGTTTTTCTATGGTTGACCACAATAATCTTCCCAAATTCTTTCTCTTTTTAAGAAGGAATGAAAGTAAATAACTTCATGGGATAGAATGGCTGGCTCTGTGTTTCTCAAGACCCCTAGTAATAGGCCTCTAAAATAATCTTATGGACTTTATTTTTTTAATATTTTATTGATTTTTTAATAGAAAGGAAAGGAAAGGGATAGAGAGTTAGAAACATCAGTGACAGAGAAACATCGATCAGCTGCCTCCTGCACACCCTCTACTGAGGATGTGCCTGCAACCAAAGTGCACGCCCTTGATCTGAATCAAACCTAGGACCCTCAGTCCACAGGCCGACGCTCTATCCACTGAGCCAAACTGGGCAGGGCAATCTTATGGACTTTAAACTAGAGTCTAGAGAGGAAGCCCAGTGCTCTCAAATTTGTATTGTTATATATGATGCTCAAATACTATGAAATGGTACTTTTAATTTTGCAAAAACAGTAGGGTCCATCTAACGCACAGAGTTAAGTGCTCCCTGGCCTCCCTGCTCCTCTTCTGTATTCCATTCTTTGGGCAAACTTGTGGCTGAGAGAGAGAATAGGATGCCAGGAAGATAATAGTGGCTTCCAGCTAGGTATCACTGGCTGACAAACCAGGTTCTCCTGGCACAAATGAATGTGATGAGCCACTGGTGTTCTCCCCAGCTCCACCTCACTCAGGGCATTCATTTATTCTGGAAGCTTCGCCTGAGAAGGCCCCAGTGCTCAGAGTTGACTCTACTCCAGCCTGGAGAGAAAAAATAGGTAGAAAAACGGGTATAGATGAAGTAATTGAAGCCCAGAATGAGCAGCTTTCCCATGGTAATAGCAAGTGGCAGTCTCAGGACTAGAATCACATCTCTGGAATCCAACCACTACTGTAAGCTGGTTTAGGAACCATAACAGAGAAGTAGGTCCCAGATGCTCAAAGAGTAGTTCGTGTTCTAGCAGCATCCGTGTTCCATTAGCACCTGGGAGATGTGAGAAATGCACAACCTCAGGACCCAGCCCAGAATCTGCTGGACAGTCTCAGAGTCTAAGACTGTCTTTCTCTTTAACAAGCTCCTGCAGTGACTCACTGATTGAAGTAAAATTGGAATCGAGGCAGAGCTTATCATTAATGCCTTCTCACTTCTAGTCTCTGGGCTTCTGTCTCTACTTGTGGCCTAGTCACTGCCTAAGCTCTGAGCTACCACTCCAAGCAACTACAGTCCTTATGTTACCTACCTAATATCCCAAAGCCCTGGCCTGCAAGGCACAACCCATGGAATCCTCTGTACAAGAAAGGTTCCTCCTGTGTTAAACCTGTTCCTCCCTCTCTTATCAAAATTCCCCTGGGCTTAGTCCTACTCACTGAGGGCCCTGCTTTCTGAGATGATGCTTTTCTAAGAAAGTAATCCCTATTTAAAGTGTCAATTTCTCTTAGTATGTTTATATATATGACTATGTGTTTTATGTATTATGAAATGAATGTTCAAAAAGAGCACGAGTCTAAAATGAGAGAAACCACTAGAGACTCTACCAACAATGAGGATGATCCAGCCACACTAGAAGCTGCTTATCCCCAGCTCACACCCAACTACTTCCTCACCAGTGGCTCAGGGCCCCATGAGAGTCTGTGAGCTGATTGCTTCTTGCCTCCCTATGTAATAGAGACCTGTCATAGCTAGCCGCACTTCGCAGTCTGAAATCAGTAATTATTTAAGGATACCACTGAGAACAGACCTCATGAATTACTTGTTAGGAAAACTGAACCCCAATTTTTATTGCAACTGTAAATGTTTGCAGAGTATTGGTAAATGGTTGCTTTGTGGCTCCCAAGGTAAATTCTGCTAACATGGTGGTAAAACTTTGGAGAAATGACTTTCAATTCCACTTTTTTATTTTATTGCCAAGATTCCATTACGGTTCCTCATCATCAGTTCCTAGGAGAACCCTTTTTGGCACTTCCCACTGCTGTAGAGCTAGGAGGTGTTCTTCATTTGGGGTAAAGTTAAAAATGGGCCTCACTGTAACTTAAATCCAACACCCCGGGGACAAGGGAATGGGTTGTGAATTGGTGGTTTTACTTCCTAGAAGAGTAGAAGGAAGAAGCAATGGTCTTTGGCACAAAAAGGAACTTGACCTACTTAACATGTGTCCATGTGTGCCCCAAACAAGGCCATCTGTATAAAGATGTACATCCTGCCCAAAGATGACTCTTAGAGTCTAGGACTGTCTCTCTCTTTCTCTTGATGGGCCCTGGCCATGTTCTCTGTGTTGAATTCCAACAGCCTCATTTTTGGCTCTAAATGAGAAATGAGTCAGCCCAGATTGGGCAGAGACCATTTGTCTTTGCCCTGCTCTTTGGACAACCTTGAGAGTCAGAAAGTCTTCCTTAGATGGACATATGTCCACATCTTTCCAAAAAGGATATGGAGACTGAAAACAAGAGTCATTGCATACAACGTAAACAATTCTCTTGGAAACTCCCCTTTCCTCACTCCCCCACCCCGACCTTTGTAAGTGGTAGCTTCCCTGGACTAACTCTGTGCCTGAGTCCAAAAAATGGGGAGAACACATAAAGGATGCACAAAGCATCTGTTGGCATCTTAATCCCAGCCCATGGCCGATTCACTGATGCTATCTAGGGATACCTGCTTAAATGATTCTTGCCAGAACTGCTTCCTGGAATGAGAGACATGAATCTTTGGAGATAAATTAATAAACCAGATTACTGATATCTATCACAGATTATTCCCCTTGCATTTTTTGAAAGCTAGTCTATAGACTTTAAAGAGACCTTAACTCCCTTTCCCCCAGGAATGCTAGATCTCATATTTGCATTTCCTTTTATCTCCTCCTAAATGTGGAATAATGTTTGGTCTCTGAAAAAATATGATAGTGATCATGACAGGAAGAAATGAGAATATCCACATGCTGATAATGAGCCCACCTAGCTCCAACACTTACTCGCTGTGTAACCAGGATCAAGTTACTTTGACTCTCTGAGCCTCGATGTCCTCATCTGTTAAAGTGGGATAGTACTACCCACTCATGATTTCACGGGAGTGATGAAATGTATGGAGAAGAATAAACACTATGCCTAGCACAAAGGAAGTCCTCAGTCAGTGAAAGAGAACTGAACCTTCTCATTCCATTCAGAGTCACTCTGGCTCTTTTGTTGGCTCTAGAAGTAATGAAGGTCTGATGGATAGACTCATTGGAAAGAGGTCATGCTCTCTCATAAGAGAGGCTCTTTCCCCTGGTCTCTTCTCTGTGGGTCAGTGAGGAGCCAACAAGGCCGAGCCAGCAGCTCGCTAGCTTGTGCTGTCCTTCATGTCCAGGTTTCTGTCCCCTACACAAAAGCCAGCCATCAACCTTGGTGCTTCCTGTTCATTAAGGAATCATTTTTCACTTTTCTTCTCTTGGTCTTAAATGTAGGAATGATCCCGAGAAACTAGACGCCTTCATCATGGACAAAGCCCTCCTGGACTATGAAGTGTCAATAGATGCTGACTGCAAGCTTCTTACTGTGGGGAAGCCATTTGCCATAGAAGGTATTAATCAGTCACTCTCAATTCACTCTCACTCAGGATGTGCTCGTTTTGCCAACCTAGCAAGTCACAAATGCCAAAGCCAGAGGCAAAATGCTATTCATCTTCCCTTGTGTTCATTTTCAACGCATAAGCACTTAGCTATTAAGTTGCTGAAGTTAGGAATTTATTTTTCACCTACTCCACAAACATGTATTTACCCACTGTTAGGAAGAGGGGGGGAAAAAGAAAAGGTTGTTGTTGCTCAAATGATGTTGATGCAGATATCTGGGAGTGGTGGCATAGTGTCATAAATGGGGAGTCCAATTTTAAATTAATCTTTATTTTCTAATGGCCAGATCCTGTGTTGAACCTGATGCAATAAACTAGAATGATTACATTTTACCACTGGAAGGACCCCAGTGTTGAGCTAACCTAATATATGTCATACACAAGAAAGCCTAGGGATGTTACATCACTTTTTCATCATCACACAGTTAGGTGATAATACTGAAATTAGAATCCCAACCTTGTGGTTTTTAAGTAAATGTTTTTTCTATTAGTTGGAAAATAAATAGAAAAAAAATATATCATTCTGTAGCTTAGTAACCTTTAAGAGTACTAACAAAACCTTGTTTGGGACTTCAGGTTTGCCTTTCTCCCCACTGGCAGCAAACTTTTGCTTCCAAGTTGATCAACCAATCAATCAAACTCTAGGACCAAAGAAAGATTGCTTTGTCAGTAGCTCCTTTCATTCTGGACAACAGTTGATATATGGAACTGGCAGTTTGGACCAGCAAATTTTATGTCTCCCAGCGCCCAGCTTCCCTCCCCTGACAGTACACCCTGACCCTCAAGACAGCCATGTTCACTTGTCAGAAAACACTTCAACTTGAAACAGTCCCAGAGAAAGTGTCCAAGTCCTTAAAACTGTACTTTCCTGTATGTTAACTAGTGCAGCGAGTCATTCTGATTCCAGTTTTCCAACTACAGTTGGTCCCTGTCTCCCCGAAACACATCAGCAAATTTTGTACTTAAGTCTTTGCTTTTGTGATGAATGAGAATGTAACAGCTGATGCTATTTCTTCATACCTTCTTCTCAGAAAAAAATCAATCTTCTCTCCAGGCAGTGACCTTCACCTGAACCAGGGATAGAATTCAGGAAGAGAGATTACATGATAGTGGTCTTCTATTAAGGCTGCCATCTGAGCCCAAATGGTGTAGCTCAGTGGTTGAGCACCGACCTATGAACCACAAGGTCACGGTTCGATTCCTGGTCAGGGCATGTGCCTGGATTGCAGGCTCTATCCCCCATGTGAGGTGTGTAGCCAATCAATGATTCTTTCTTATCATTGATGTTTCTATTTCTCTCTTCCTCTCCTTCCATCTCTGAAATCAATAATATATATATATTTTTTAAAAAAGTCTGCAGTCTGAGATAGCAAAGTCACAAAAAGAAAAGAAAAAGAAGAAAGTTTAAAAACCCAAAGAACATTTATTATATAACCCTATTTTGATGTAGCAGTGGAAAATTCCCATGTTTTTGCGTGGAATCTGCAGATATAGAAGGCATGTTACTTTTTTTCTGTCCTAGATTCACTGGGTAATTGAGGTCCCTTCTGCCATTAGCAGATACTCAACAATGAATCATTGACTGGGGGGCATGAGAATGAGGGACTCCACTTCCCACCTTTGTCCTCAGAAAACAACCCTGTCTTGTCAAAAGGCTGTGGTGAGATGGCTTGTTTGCCTCTGCTGGACCCCAGCGCCAGATGCCACACAATTAACTCCCGCTGACTCCCTGTTTACATTCCCATCTGTGTGCCTGGGACTTCTCATCTTGCCATTCTCATCATCTCCAGACACCACGTTGTCTTCAAAGGGGATAAGCACAAAAATGGCCCATGGAAGAGCTCTCCCTGCAAGAGAGCACAAAGGCTACAGACTTGAGCAGAGAGAGCATTCTCATCGTTGTTGGTTTATTCGGGGGCGGGGGGGGGGGGGGAGGGGGAGGGCAGGGAACTATTGCTGATTTACTCTGGGTGAGGTGCAAATCAGAACATTTAATTCAGCCGAAACTGGTTTGGCTCTATGGATAGAGCGTCGGCTTGGGGACTGAAAGGTCCCAGGTTCGATTCCGGTCAAGGGCATGTACCTTGGTTGCGGGCAAATCCCCAGTAGCGGGTGTGCAAGAGGCAGCTGATCGATGACTCTCTCTCATTGATATTTCTAACTCTCTATCTCTCTCCCTTCCTCTCTGTACAAAATCAATAAAATATATTTTTAAAAAGAAAGAAAGAAAATTTAATTCAGTACTGCCCCTGGCAACAAGTTCACAACCTAAAAACAGAACGTGGCAAAACACAAAGAGAAATTACTTCTAAGTTATAAACAGCAATGTGATGAAGATACTAGGGAAAGGCTTGATTGCTGCTCTTTGAAAAAGTATATTAATTTATAGATTTTTAGGAAATATTTCTCTCTCTCTTTCTCTCTCTCTCTTTCTCTCTTAAATATATAATATCTTCATTGATGAAAGTATTATAAATGCCCCCTTCTTTTCTCCTATTGATCCCCCTCCATGCCACACTCCCTACCCCAGGCCTACTGCAAGGAATCTTTCTCTCTTAATGAAATTTTAAAAAATATCACTCGCTTTCCTTTAACAACATTTAGGTTTCTGGAACTTATGAAAATGTAGACTTTATTACTAATTCATTAGACTTTATTGGCATAAAAATATCATCAAAGCAATTTATGAACAATTTTTACTTACAGGACTGTTGGATATGTCTGGTTCCTGTCACAGGATCTAGGCATATAACAGTTTTGTGATAAGTGATGTATCACCCATTACATAACTCATTAGGTTAGATGTGAAATAAGTACTGTACTTAATTCAGTCGCTAACGTAGTCATCAAAAGCACCCTGGTGTTCTGCATATACTTTTCCAGGTGCTTAAATGACTCTGGGAACTTAGGCGGGAAAATGGAGTACATTGATTCCTTCACGCTCAATGTACATTCACTCTGTGTAGTGCTGATATCACACCACTCACTGCGACTACTGAATACACCCTCAACTTTACCACTCTACCTTTATTTAGGCTTGAAAATAAAAGGTGATGCAAGTGAGAGAGACAGTGGCTCCACACTGAGATTGAAACCTTTTCGTGAGCACTTAGCTCAGCAACCCAAAACTATTAGGAATTTAAGAGCATGTGGAAGACCTTTGGTCGTTTTAAATACTACATACACCAGAGAAAACAAAGACATAGTGTGTGCTCTGAGGGTTGGAGAAAGGGAAAGAAAGTGTTGAGATAAAGGAATACATGTCCCAAATGTATGCATTGGAGTTAGCTGACAATAAAGGTCAAAAAAGAAATGGAACTGCACAGTAATGATTTGTGACCTTTCTGCCAAAGACCTTTGTCCATTTTTGAGTTTGTTCTCTTACTTGTTTTCCACTAATTATTGAATACAGCACTTGGAGCACCAGCTGTGAGTCTGAGTGCTTGGGTTAGAGCAGAGTTGCTATTACTACTGTGCTACATGGGACAGGTCTCTTAATCAGGTTTCAGGTTCCTCATCTGCAGAATGGGTTTGTGAATAATATATCTATGATAGGGTTGTAAACATTAAGTAAAATAAGATGTGTAAAGTATGTACAAGCACATAGTAAGTGCCTAATTATTCTTCAGTATGTTGAATTAAGAGATTAAGACCAATTCACATAAAATTGTCTCAGGATAGATAGCCTTCAGCTTCTCCCACACACTTCTCTCTCCACTGTGATGTGCTGGAATAAAGGAACCTCATTTTTAGTGTCATCTTTACAGTTGAGACTATTTCAATACGTTCTCAGCCATTGCCCCAGAGTAGCTATTAATACTAGTACATATGGTATTCCAAGGACTGGCTGCAAAATTGAATTAGTCTTTCTTATTGGAGCCTTTTTTTTTTTTTAATGCTACCTGAAATCTTATTTTCAAAATATCTGTTTTCCAACCACATTTCAGGAAGTTCTCTTAGTCCATGAATTTTTAACTATACATTTCCTAGCCAAAATATATTTTCACCACTCTTAGGCTGAGTAAAGCTGATTTATCCATGGGGAAAAGATCAGGATTCTATTCTGAAAATTGTTCTCTTGGGCTATTAAGCTGTATGCAATTTCCAGGGTGCCTGATGCCTTCATCTTTAGGGTGGAAGGATTCCGTTTTGCTTCATCCATCAGCCACAAAGTAGTCAACCTCGTCTTTATTGCAAAGCCATGTTTCTAATGATAATGAAAGCAGCTCAGGCTGCTAAGTTGAGTCAGCAATTTAAAAATAAGAACTCTTTGACCAGTGAACACATCAAATTGAAAAGCAACTGATAAAGAGAAGGATGGGGATGAAACCTTCTAACTTTTACTATTTTTTATATATTTTTTATTGATTTTCTTACATGAGGAAGGGAGAGGGATAGAGAGCTAGAAACATCGATGAGAGAGAAACATCTACCAACTGCCTCTTGCACATACCCCTACTGGGGATGTGCCCGCAACCAAGGTAGACGCCCTTGACCAGAATCAAACCTGGGGCCCTTCATTCCACAGACCGACGCTCTATCCACTGAGCCAAACTGGTTTTGGCTAACTTTTACCAATTTTTTGTTTCTGAATAAAATGGAACTTTATGTCTTTTAACAAATACCTCTTCTCATTGCCATGTAACTTTTTTTCTTATTTCTCCCTTGATAGTTTGTTTTAATAATCTAATAACTATTATTGTTAAAAATCATTAAAATGACAATATTCAATATATGCAGTAGAATAGAAAATTAAAAAGGACAGTAATCTATTTTTAGCAATTGCAGCTTAACTTTGACATGATGGAGTGGAGTGATTTAAAATTTATTATTTCCTATGTAGCAATTTCTTATAAATGTCTCTGAAACTTCAACATAGCTTTCGCCCTGGGGCAATTTTTATACTTTTGTGGTAGTGCCAAAATTCTTTTCTTAGAATATGCAGATTTATTACAAGTATTAACTTCAGATTTTTAAACTGTCTTATCGTGTATTTTTGTCACATCTTCCCAAAAATACTACTGTAAGAATCAGTCTCAGATGCCTTCTCTCATCTTCTCATATGGCAGCAATCTATTATTCATCTGAACTCCACAGACTTTTATCCATTCTCCTCCTTGCATCCTAGTCATTATATTTCACCCATATTGAATTTATGCCTCACCTATCTTTTTTCCCTAGAAAAGCGCTGTGACTTCCCACAATATTGTATAGTTATGTATGTGTGTCTCATCTCCCCATGTCACCATGAGCTTCTGATGGCTAGAATGAGTATCTGATTGAACTTGGCAGCCTCTACAGCACTTGGTGGAGTGTCTGATACAGAATGAGCATTGACTACATGTTTGTGAGATTAATAAATAGATGCGTAGGTGTGCAACAAACGCTTATCAAGTGAAATATGAAAGCTATTCTGCCATTGCTACACTAAGCTGGGCTGAGTAATTTAAGAGGGTTTGTAGGAGGAATAATAGAGGCAGGGAGCATTCTTGCTAGTTCATTTCCAATGTATAGCTCACATTTACATGGACAAAATATGCCCATCAATGATATGTATTCGTGTCTGCTGTTGAAAACAAACCTCCAGTTTAGATGACTGTGGTTTTGTACTGAACTACTGCCTCGTTCAACATGATTGTGGCGCTATGGCCTGTATGGAAGGGGAGGAAATAGCCCAGCAATCCCTTCACTTGGTCGCATGCTATGCTAGGTAAAGTGGACAGAGCACTGGCTTTAGACTCAAATAGACCCACTGTCATAGTTAGCTTTGCCAACTATGAGCTGTGTGACCTTAAACAGTTTACTTATTCAGCCTTCAATATGTGAGGAATACATATTCTACTTGGGTTCATAAAGGAATTAGACACAGAGTGTGGAACTGTCTCTGGCATATAGTAGATGTCAGTATGTTCTAGTTTTTATAATTATAATCCCAGAGTGATTTCACTGAACTGCATGCTACACTTTAGTACACAGTCTTAGTCAGGTGCATGATCTGCAAAACAGGGTAAGGTTTGTAAAAGGTTTATTATAGAGCAGGACTTGGTATATAGTAAGCCCTCGATAAATACTATAAGCATTTGTTGTTGTTGAAAACTATTGCCACAGGGGCTGGCTATTATTGGATTTTTTACAATATTTTTATGATATAATAGTTTGTGATAATGTTGTAAGAAAATACAATAATAGTCAGCAAACCGGGCCTAATTATCCTGACCATTAACCTGCTTCCACCAGAGAGTTTCAATTCCTCCTACTATATGTTTGTATATGCCTCAGTTCATCCTCATACTAGGGGCCCAGCACGTGAAATTACACAAGACCCAGGACCCAGAGTCCCGCGGCTCACAGGACCCTAAAAGAGTCCTGCAGCTGCTGCTGCCATGGGATGGGGGGCCCAGAAAGCCACCAGCACCTCTGGTCAAGTCCTCCAGATTCAAGTCCCCTCCCACCTGCGTGCACCTGCTGCGCACACAGCCTCCTGCTGATCAGTCATTACTGCGTGACGGCTTGATAACCACAGTCTTTTTATATAATAGATGTGATAAAATAATCATTGTGCAGTCATTGTTTAATGTCTGTCTCCCTAATGGAATGGATACACTGCAACTTCAGGGGCCATATCTGCCTCGCTCCCTGCTAAACCCGGACCACTCAGCCCAGTGCCTGTTCACTCAGTGTATTTGTCCATTGAGTGTATGAGTGAGTCAGTAGGTCAGTGAATATTATTATGCACGTCCTAGGATTGTGCCTGGCGTGTAAATAAGTATTGAGTGAATGTATGTGCAGCGGAACTGTCAATAGCATTCGTTATAAGAAATGTTTCTAAAGAAAACTGCTACATCCTTACAATTATTCATCACCCACAAAAATATATATATATTATTTTATGATAACATCTGCAGAACAGGCTGCTCATGTGAAGCCTTTTATTCTCAGTCTCGCCTTTCCAACCAAAACCAAGCACAAAACAGGCCCTCAAAATAGCTTTGTGTATGAAAAATTCTAATCATGCTCTTGACATTGTCAACATTTCCTTGACTTGCCATTGTTAAGAAACAAACAAAATTACCAGGGAAAAGAAAACATACAGCTCTTCAAAACTCAGAAACCTTCTCTGCATTAGTTATGTCTTGTCTTTTATTGGTTATGTTCACATCTCAGACCCCATCCTTTTTTAAAAGAAGGATTTGTGTAATTTATGTATCTGCTATAAAAATAGGAACAAAAACTAATCTACTTGGAAGTAAATTGTTAAGATACAATAATTTTGGCAGGTATTTGTCACTAGTAAATATTTTTGGACTCATGACAGCCTTTTAGTTTTTATCTGTGAAAAAGAAAGTAACTATATTTTTAGTTTATCTTCCTCAATTATCTTGAGGGCAAAATGTCTTTTTTAATAATAAAAGAAAAATTCTGCTATGCAATAGCTCAAGATAAAATGCAGGTAATTAGCTCTTCCACATTGCTCATCAAAGAGATTCACAGTGCAGTAAGAGTTTGGAAAGCAAATAAAGGCACACAGAGTGAGGATATAAGGTCCAAGCTGCTTTACCAAGCTGACACCAAATTCCCTCAACCTGTGTTCCTCCTGCATCCTTTCCCCTGACTCCCTTGCCTTCAGTAACTACTATCCTGGATTTTTGGTTTATCATTTCCTTGATTTTTTGGTAAACATACTTTAACCACATACATAGGAATTCCTAAAAATAGATTGTTTTGTTTTGAATCTTCTACATATACACAGTAGATTCATGCTGTAATTTTCTGGAACTGACCCTTTTCACTCCGAATCTTTTTTTTTTAATATATCTTTATCAATTTTGGAGAGGAATGGAGAGAGAGAGAGAGAGAGAGAGAGAGAGAGGAACATCAATGATGAGACAGAACCATTGATCAGCTGCCTCTGGCATACTTGGGAATCAAGCCTGCAACCAGAGCATATCCCCTACTGGGAATCGAACCATGATCTCCTGGTTCATAGGTTGATGCTCAACCACTGAGCTGCTGGGGCCAGGCACAGTCCATATCTTATTGCTAAGAGGCATCCATATTATTGCGTGTCATTCTAATTAATATGTTTCACACTGTACTATAAAATTCCAATTGTGTAAATATTCCACAATTTATTAACCATTCTCTTGCCAAAGCACCTTTGGGTTGTTTGCAGTTTTTGCTGTTATGAACAGTAGCTCTCATAGCATATCTCCTGGTGTGCTTGTGGAAGACTTCTTTGAGAATGTACTTAAAACTGCTGGTCTTAGAGTATATAATTGTCCACAAAATTGAATGAGTATTTGAAACATCAAACTGTTTTCCAAAGGGGTCATATCAATTTGCATGACCACGAATAATGTGTAAGTGATCTTTTTGGTCTGTCTTCTCCCACACTTGGTATTACCAGACTCATTTTTTTAATCATTGGAGTTAATTATAAGTTATTATTGTTATTTTAGTTATGCTATCGCATATGTTTCAGGGTCTTACTGTTTAAAAATAAACAAAATAAAAGTAACAGAGCGCCGTGCATGACCAATGATGAGACTATGTCGTAAGCCAAAGATTATAATTACAACCCACTTTTGTGTACTTCAGGTCTAGAGCAGGGATGGGGAACCTTTTTTCTGCCCAAGGCCATTTGGATATTTATAACATCCTTCCGCATCCATACAAAATTAACAACTTGAAAATTAGCCTGCTATATCCAGTCAAACAACTCACCCCTAATGCCTCGGTAGGGCCAGGCCAAATGATTTTGTGGGCTTTCTACAGCCAGCAGGATGGATGTCCCCCACCCCTGGTCTAGAGGAAGGGCTCTAGCAGAGGCAGATAGGGACTCTAGCCCTGATAAAGACCTCAATGGTGGCTTCTAAAAATATCTTCAAAGTAAGCGCAGAGGCCTTGGGGAACAATGCGCCACCTGTATACTTTGCACAGCCCATTCCTCTCCTTTCCAGACTCATCTGTGAGGGGCAGCAGATCGAAGGTATACGTCAGATACCTTTGAGTCCTTGGAAGGCAAGATGGTGATGGTTCACCTTACCCTTGTTACCAGGCCTAATGGCCACATTGGCAACCTCTTAGGAGCCTCTCGGGTGAAAATCTCAGCTGAGACTATCTTTTCTCCTAGGATACGGCATCGGGCTGCCCCCCAACTCTCCGCTGACTTCCAACATATCTGAGCTGATCAGTCAATACAAGTCCCACGGGTTTATGGATGTGCTGCATGACAAGTGGTACAAGGTGGTTCCCTGTGGCAAGAGGAGTTTTGCTGTCACTGAGGTAAGGGACCACTGCGGATAACATTAACACTTTGTCTAGCTTTACCTTGAAGAATAGGGTGTGTGTGTGTGTTTTTTTTTTTCAAACTGAGAACAACCAGTTCCCTTTTATAGATGTGAAACGAATACCCAGAGATCTTAAGTGATTTGCCCAAGGCATACAGATCATCAGAACCTGCTTCTTTCATGGCCATGCTCTGCCTTTATGATGTAATTATAAAGAAACCTGCAAAGGGAACCAGAAATTGGATGATTAAGATAGGAAACTAAAAGGTGAAACAAGAGCGCCTGAGAGCTCAGCTCAGGCATTTAAAAGGGAAGCCAAATAAACCAGCACAAGGTCAGCCTGACATTTAAAAGAAGAAAAAAATCTAAAGCCAATGATAATGGCTTCAAATCGCTTGCATCCGTGTATCTGATTTCCTAGTTAACATGTCCACTCGACTATCCTGTAGGCATCTCATATTTAACTTGTCAACAGCTGAATCCTTGATCTTCCTGCCTCAATGTGCTCATCCTTCCATGCCTCACATCTTGGCCATGCTACCTCTGTCGGTCCTGTTACTGTTTCCATAACCTGGCAGGTGTCCTTAATGCCCCCCACGTCTCCCCTTCTATACCCATCAATAAGCCACATCTTTTGTTTCTATAAAATATGTCCCAAATATGCCAATTTCCACGGTCATCATTTTAGTCTCCAAGCCATTGTCCCTCTCCTGGACCACTGTAAAAGTCTCCCCAGTGGTCTCTCTGTTTTCACTCCTGCCTTTCTTCAATTAGTTCTCCACATGGACGATCACTGTTCTGCTTAGAAGCCTGCAGTAGCCTCGTGTTAATTAGGGAGCAATGTAAAGCACTGAGCGCGGCCTGCAGTGCCCTGTGGGATGTGACCCTGCCTCAATCTTCAGCCTCATCGCATGCCTCTTTCTCTTGGATCATTACAGCCCCAGCACAGTAGTCGTTTTAGGCAGAGATACCCCAATGGCTTCCCTGCCTTTGGGTCTCTGCACAGGCTGTTGCTTCCTCCTCCTTAAGTACTCTTCCCCCTGACACTTACCCAGCTAATGCCTTCTCATTATAAACTCTCAGCTGAAATCTCCCTTCTTCCGAGCCTGCCATGGCTCCTGATTCCATCCGAATCATATCTTATCTTATATCTCACATTATTTCATAGCCCTCGGCATCATTTACATTTTATTATTCATTAACATATATTTACTCAGGTTATCATATTAGTGTATTTCTCCTTCATTAGATTATAGGACCTCTGCGGGCAAACATGTTGTTTACTGTTGTGTTCTCAACGCCTGCTTCATAGAAGGCACTCAGTAATTGTGGAATAAATGAAGCAGAGAATCCAAACACTATATATGAGAAGACGTTGGGAAGCAGAAGTTCAGAACATAAAGCAAGTGTGATATTGGTAGTCTAGGATGTTGAATAATGTCCCCCCAAAGTTAATGTCTTCAGAATGTGATCTCATTTGGAAATAGAGGGTTTTTGTTGTGGTTTGTTTTTTTTGTTTTTTTTTCAGAGATAATTATTTAAGACTAAGGCCCGGTGCAAGGAGCTTGGCCCTCAGGGCCCTGGCTGCCTCCCAGCCCGACCTCCCCCCTACTCCCTACTGGTCGTTCCAGAAGGTTGTTCCGGAAGGTCAGTCCACCATCAGGTTTAATTAGCATATTAGCTCTTTATCATATAGGCTAAGATGAGGCTGTACTGAATTGGGTGGCCCCTAAACCCAGTGATGGTGTCCTTACAAGGCCATCTGTAGAGACATACAGGGAAGAAGCGCATGTGATGTCAGATGAGGTGGAGTGATACAGCCATAAGCCCAGGGAGGCTATGTCTTGGCTGCAGCCACCAGGAGCTAATTCTGCCTCAGAGTCTTCAGAAAGAACCAACTCTGCTGATATCTTCATTTCAGATTTGACTTTCTGAAATGTAAGAGGAAAAAAGTTTTGTTTTAAGTCACCCAGTTTGTGGTGATTTGTTATAGCAGCTTTAGGAACCTAATACTGGTAGATGATAGATAGGTAACTAGATAGATAGATAGATAGATAGATAGATAGATAGATAGATAGATAGATAGATGATAGATAGATATTGATTTTACTTAAATAACAGAAGTGTCTTTTCCTAACTCAGAAATCAAAAACCTCTAAAAGAACAGTGAATAACTACAACTAGAAACTGAGACATACTAGTCAATGCCCTTGACAATTAAGTTTACCTCTATTGTTTTGGACAGCCATGACAAAAAAAAAGAAGAATATAAAATTAAAGCTGATTAAAGAGAAAAAGAGATGGAGGTTAGTCTGTTTTTAGTACTAAATTCTAAAATAATTCTTTTTTTTAATAACAGAATTGGCAATGTTTGCAAAATGCAAACAAAAAAAATTCTCTGGCTAATTATTGTACTGATGCTTCATAGAAGTTGTGAGCAAAGATTTGAAGGAAGCAAAGGGGAAAAATGGGAAATTAGAGAAATAACATGTCCTGTTCCTCACCACATAATAGAAACTGTACATAATAGAAACAAGCAATATTGACTCATTGGTTCTCACTACAAACTCAGTAGGCAGGCATTCTTGCCTTTATTGGAAGAGGTTTGCATGGCTTTCCAGAAAAGAAATACTTGTGGGTTTACACTGATAAGCTGAGTTAATTCATCAAGAACGCAAATAAGCCAGTTACGTAAACTGACAATCAATGGGTCTGAGCTGCCTATCACTACTTGAGCCAATTAAGCAGAGACAGGGTTGAATCATATATGAGTGTTTATTCCAATAATACTGGCAGTATGGAAGAGCAACAGGTCATCCACCAAAATCTGCTCTCCCTCCCTACCCTAACCCCCACTTAAGCCAGCTGCAATTTGAACAGACTGTCCAATCTCAGAAGGAAGTGAGGGGGGCCCCTAAGAGGTCAATCAAAGGACTTGAATGCATGCATATAAGCATAACTAATGGACACAGTCTATAGAGGAATGAGGGCCTGTGCTTGGGGGTGGGAGCAGGTGGACTCTGTTGACTAATGAGTTTGCGACCAGTGCCCTAGGCCAGTGTTTCCCAAACTTTTCTCATGATGAGAATCACCCGGTGGAGTTGTTAAACTACAGATTCCTGAATCCCAACTAAGAAGTGCTAAACTAGAATTTTTGGGAACATATAGGTAAAATCGTATACTTAACTAGTGCTCTAAGCTTAGCATTAGTTCAGTGTACAATGACGCTAACCTGTGTGCATTTAAACAACAATACATATCCTTGTGCACTGACTGGCACATTTGTCTGGAACAACCCAAGACAGAATTTCAGCATGTCACCGAACCTAAAGATGGAGTGGAATGAAATAAAGCCAATCTTCAGCTCATGGATTGAACTTCCACGGGTCTCCACTTGTTTGCTGCCTTTTTGTTTTGTTTTTTTAAGCTTTCTCCCGGAAAAGGTCAGAAGACAGAAGCATGCCTGGCAATGCTTTGTTTGCCATTCCTTTAACCTCAAATATCATGCACTGCTGGGCTGTGTTAGTGTAAGGAACCAGGACTTATTTTGAAATCAGACAAGACATATTTGAGACCTGCCTTTACCAACAACTTAGCTGGGCAAGTCCCTAACCCGCCTCAGTCTCAGCTTCTTCATCTCTTCAGTAGCTCTTGTGCAGAATAAATAAAATAGTCATTAAATGAACCTGACCCACCTCCTTTCCCTGGAAGTGGGGAGAGGGGTATAGGGTACAGGGCAACACAAGCAGGTATGTTCTGGAGGGTATCACACCTAACAGGCGCTCTTGAGGAAGATGTTTCTCTCTCTCTCTCTCTCTCTCTCTCTCTCTCTCTCTCTCTCTCTCTCTATATATATATATATATATATATATATATATATATATATATATATATAATTGATTTCAGAAAAGAAGGGAGAGGAAGAAAGAGAGATAGAAACATTAATGATGAGAGAGAATCACTGATTGGCTGCCTCCTGTGCACCCCACACTGAGACTGATCCTGCAACTCAGGCATGTGCATCGAACCATGGCATCAAACCATGACCTCCCAGTTATAGTTGACACTCAACCATTGAGCCACACCAGCCAGGCTGTTAATTTTTTACTTTACCTTCTAATTACCAGGTACAGTCCAAGTCTATGTCTATTGCCACAGATTAATTAACACCCTTCACTCTAAAAACAGTTCAGCTAAGGAATTATATGGTCACCTAGTAATACTATTGAGACATGAGAGACACCTTTGGCAGTCGGACATTAATACGTGGTCCCTTGTGAGAACCTTGATCTATTCACCTCTCATTTCTCAGCAACCCCAGAACTGTCTAGTGGCAGTTTCTCTGGAGGAAAAACTCATTTTTTTCCAAATTCCAAGGCTTTATCTCCTCCCCAGAGTCACCTAGGAAATTGCAAGTCCAATTCTGCAGACCAGACTCTGGCAATTTTCAGAGAAGAATTTTAAATTGCCCTTAGATGTTTCCTCATGATCCTCCCCGCACAGCTGTGCCTCTGCCCACAGTAGACTCATCATAGACCAATTCCACGGGGAAAGCATACGGCAGGCTTTACATTGCCTTCATTTCCTTTGACTCAGGAAAAAAAATATTTTTTTCAAATTTTTTTTCCAAGTCACTGAGTGAATTTAAGAGCTCCAGGGAAAGTTTTGCAAAATCCATTATTTGCAAATCAGGAAAGGGAAGACAGCAGATCACAATTTAGCTAACTCCCCAGATTCTTCAAGGAATTATTAAGATATATGATGATACCTCTTTTCTAAAGTCTACTGTAAATAATAGGCTGAATAATGTACCTTTTAGCCAACTGGGAATCATAAAAAGGGAAGAGGGAATGGTGATCTTGGCACAAAATAGGTATCACACTCAAACAGTTCGAGTAGAGTTTTCCAGAAAACATTTGCAAAGAATCGGTTTAAGGAAACCATCCGAAAGAGTTCAGTCTCCCAGACAAGTAAGGTGAAGGAGCCATTACCACA